CCCAGGGCGTAAGGCGCAAGTCCGGGGAAATCGCCGATATCAGCTTAGTGATCATGGCGGAAGACGCAAGGTACGGGGCCTATCGAGATGAGCTCGATCAAGCCGTTGATGGTGTGTTCTTGCAAACATATCACAACTGGGAAGGTGCAAAACTCGTAGGACGGGAGAGAAAGGCTTCGGCAAAACGAGACCAGAAACGTTCGACCGAACCGAATCGTATTCTCATCAGAGGTGTTGTAAGCTGACGGCTCAACGAGGACTCTATCGTCCACAGACTTCTTGTTATACGGCCACTTGAATCCTCATAGGGAATCGCAAGCTGCTGGGTTAAGGCATTCAACTGGCACCAAACGCAGCGATGCCTAAACGGTCAACTCAAATAGCTGGTTTGAAGGTAAAATGAAGGCAATGATGACCCGAGAACGATCGAAATGTGGGTATTGGGGGCTGACATCACTAAAAGAGGAATTGTTGCGCCAGTCTACTCCAACCACCTGCCTATTCAACATCACTGTACGACCTCAGCCCGCGAGCAAGTGGATACGAAACGAGGCGTCCTTTCACAAGTCTCCTCGATGTCTTACACCTCAAAACACCACGATCCACAATCTCCACCTACGCCCCGTCCCATCCGAACCCTCGAGATGCAATCCAGCCCGTAGCCTTGGATGGTACACGAGACTCTCAGCCTTCCAATGACGATCTCCATCTCAGTACCGCAAAGATCCTCGCTGCGACCATGACGCCCCATCACGTCGCGCCTTACCATGGTGCATACGGCCCGAATCCAAGACACCAGGCAAACCACTTCCCTTGACGCCGGTGACGAAGCTGTAAGACACAGGGGATACGAATAGCATCATCGTACAGTATCGATGAGGAGAATGGGATGCCTAAACACTAGACAGAGGAATATATAAGGAGGTAGCTTGTAGCAAGCAGAGGACCATCATCACACATCAACAAGTTCTTCAATCGTACACACCAAACAGACCTTCAATCTCAACGTTCAACAAACAACACTTCCCAACAAATCGACATGTACTTCTCCAAGATCGCCATCCTCGCCGCTGCCACCATGGCTAGCACTGCCGTTGCGGACAACTGTTTCGCTGGATACGCGTACTGCGAGGGTAACCTTTTGACTCAGGGTTCGTCTTCCCTTCCCCTCCATCCCTTCCATCTCCCCTCCCCTTCCCTTTCCCCTTCTCCCTCCCCTCCTCCAGCCCTCCAGTCCTCCAGTCCCCATCTAACACAACCCAGGCGACTACGCCTCAACCATCTACCAAGTCCTCGACGCAGCAGGCCAACCCACCGACGCCAACGCGCGCGCTAAAGCCCTGTTCAACTGTGTCAACGGCGGTGCTATCCAGTTCATCACGCTTTGCGGTGGCGACTGCAAGAATGAGCCTTTTGGTAGCCAGGTTAGTGATCACTGCTAGATCACTTCTTCGTGAGAAAAACGTCTTCAAGAATGCCTGGGGATGGAAGCGGATGGAGGACGGGAAGACGGGAAGGAAAGGAAGAGAGAGAGAGAGAGAGAGGTGAGCAGAGTGGAGAAGGTGGAAGGGATTGACTAGACTAAAATCATACACTCGTTTCTCTGTCTCTGTGCAACAGCCATCGTATCATTCATCTTGCGTATGCATATTTATCGAGGTATGCAACTTCAACTTTTGTCGTACATGAAACGAGTCGTCCGCACCATTACCCTCCATTCATCCTGCCCAGAAAATGTAAACACAAACAAAGTCTACGTAAAGCATAAGAGCATAACTCCAAAGAGCTGAACAGCAGATAAACCCACCAGCGCCAAAACAGTAAACAGACATCCACCCAGTACCCTTTTTGCTATGCTCATTGAACGCCACAGCGCTCATCATACATCTCATACACACGACCTATCCACTAAGAAGGTCCTTAACACTCATGCCCCTAGCCCCACTCCAGCTACGACGGTCGGTATTCAACATCATCAGCGCCTCAGTAGCTTCCTGGTCCTCACGATCAGCCTGTGGTTTCAACGCCGGTGACGTCAACGCGAAATGAACAGAGCCATGCGACGAGCCAGGCGCAGCTACAGGACCCGTGCTAGGAGGGCCGTTGTGGAAGGGGTTGCTGAAGTGTGTGGCCGATGGTGTGTGAGCGCTGAACGCAGGCGAAGGGTGGATCGAAGGCGAAGTTACTGTGGAGCGGACTGAAGCTGGCCCGAGCGAGTAGTGGTGTGGGTCGGACGGGCGCAACGCGGGGGAGGGGTTCGCCGAGTAGTGGCCGTTGCGATGATCGTGGGGCATGATGGCTGGGGATGTGGTGGTGGAGTGGGTGTATACGCTTCGGTCGGAGGGGTAGATGGCGGGTGAGGCTTGGGCGAAGGTGTATTTGGATTGGGCGGGTGGTGGCTCGACGTAGGTGGGTGATACGGCGTCTTCCATTTCTTCGTCTTGCTCTTCGTCTTCGTCGTCGTCGTCGTGCATGCGTCGGACTGGTGGTGGCGGGAGCTCGGATGTAGCTGAGGATGGGGAGTCGCGGCGGGAGTTGGCGGTCTTGAGGTCGGAGACGCACTGCTCGAGGTATCGCATGTACTCGATGGATGCCTGGGTATGTTAGTGTATGAATGTAATATTGGTGAGTGTCGGGAAGTACCTGTAGAATGGCCAGCTTGTGCATCTCTTGCCCTCTGCATGCCGGAATCATGTCCTTGAGCACCCCAAACTCCTCGTTCATCTTGGACCTTCTCCTCCGCTCGATCAGACTGTGTGCTGTCTTCCTTGCAATCTTACGTCCCGCAGCAGTGGCGTTACCCGCCTGCTTCCTTTTGGTACCATTAGTGGCAGCGGTCGTGGTCTTCGCATCTTGTGTTTTGGACGACGTCTTGGGCGTTTCCTGGGTATCTTTGGGCTTCATCTGAATGATCTTGCGGGATCGGGTAGGCGGAGGCGGGAGAGAATAGTCGTCCTTGGTGATGATGCTCTGCTGGGAGCGTTTGCGCGCATGACCGGGTTTGGAAGTCGCGACTGGGGACGACGGGGAAGGTGGCCGGTAGGACGAGTCTGAGGCATTTTCGGATTTACCAGAGGAGCTAGCTACGCTTCCTCTACCACCCAGCGCTGCAGGTGGCAAGTTGAAGCTGGTCTCCAATTGAGGGGCATTGGCGCTGCTCTTGCCGGTGATGTCTGTCGACGGCTGGGGAGTCGGGGGGAGGTTTGGGCGAGGCATGATGGGAGTAAAGGCGCTCATAGAACGTCTTCAGCCAGTGTCCCGCGCGTAGAATAAGTCAGAAAGCGACAAAGAGGGGATAAAGGGACGGCAGAGACAATGTATGGCGTGCATTATCAGCATTGGGGTGTCGCGTGGGCTCTTTTGTGTCGCAGCGCTGGGAGAAGGATCCCGTGGGTGTCCTGCGCTCCCATGATTGGCTGGCCGGCCAAGATACCTCAGGAAATGGCGCCAGTCCATCGCGCCTCCTATGAGAACGTCACCCTGGGAGCGTGGGCGTCGCGGCCGCTGTAGGCCTCTGCGAAGCTGCAGCTTCTTGAACGAGTGGGCCGGCCATCGCGTTGGGAGTAACCGTGGCGAACGTTGTTGAGGTCCAAATGGAGCACGTGCTCGTCTTTCTTCCCCTCCGCCGGGCGTGGTTATAGCAGTCGAGGGGTTTACCCGCAGGCGCAGAGCGAAAAGGGCCGAAGCAAGGCTATGAATCGCGTTAGGCGGCTAGCATATTGATAGAGCAGTAGATCGTGGGTATTTGTATGGTGTGGCATGTGTGCATGTGAAGACGGCAATAAGCTATCGAACCCTTATTCTGCAGTCGCGATGATGCCCCACCATTATGAGAACATGGTATAGCTCGTCTGCGTTGAGACGCTGCAGCACACTTGCTAGGTACAAAGGCCTAGCGGATGAGCTGCCCAGTTCACCCTTGAGGTTCTGCAATCGACAGCTGTCCAACACTTCCCTGTTCCGGCCTGTGTTCACGTTCTACAGGCAGGGTTGAGTGGAAAAGTAGAAGATGCGGGAGAGTGAATAGAAAACCACTGTAATCCACAGGTTCACTGGTTGCCTCTTCGGGCTATCGTCTGTACATATTTGAGACGGTAGAACCTTATATCTCTTCACTGCATGTATCAGCTGTCTTCCGTTATTGGGGCGGATTCAGTTTGACGTCATCTGTGAGCTGCAACTCAACTTGAACTCATTGACTGTGATAAACCCTACCGTCTTCGATGCCTTCGAGGACTTGCCTATCTGGGAATGCATGCTTGGCGTCCAATAGGGGGCAAGCGCGTCTTCCGACCCCACTAGTCAGCCGCCCATCTCGATGCAGGCCACGCGACACCAGGTCATCATCCTCCATCTAGGCCATGACTGCTGCGTAACTTTCCTGCGCATCCATCCTCGCACGAGATCAACTGGCGGTGTTACTTCGACGGTTCGCCAAGTATCGATCATCTGCTGTTCACGATGCGCGAACATCTCCGAACGACTTCGACCCAGCTGCTAAGTTTATTCCAGTCCTAACTAGCTACGTCGTCGCGTTTGTGCATCATACTCAGGTTTGTATCTCTCTTTTATCTTCACCTTGTCATGAAGACAATATACCTAGAGGAGGTCTGTATCCTCTTAGCCGCATCGACTCTGCATTCTAAAGGTACGCGTCGTGATACACGCAGCTACAAGCAAGCGTCGGCCCTGGCGAGTACCTTTAGAGCATACTTTATGTTAGGTACAAACTAGAATGGTAAAATATGTGGAGTTGCACAGGCAGCTGTGAACCTTTTAGCCTGCCATGGGTGAGACTTCTTGCCGGCATGAGCCTCAACCGCACCGCGTGACCTCGCACGTAAGGTACACACGACACATAACCACGTAGATCCCAGCACGAGCTGCAGTCACATCGCCAGTTCAGATGTTCGGAGCTATTCGTCATCCAAACAGATCGCTTATTCCTATCGCTATTACCCACGTCGCATACAATTCAACAAACTCCACATTCTCTCATTATGGCAATTCCTTTCCGGCCCGCGTCACCTGCCGAGGACCTGCCCCCATACTACCAAGACACAGGCAACGACGATATTCGACAATGTTTCCGTAACTTCGATGTGGACCGAAACTTTGATCTCTTCGACCGGCAAACAAGAGAGCACAGGAGCCGCAATTTCTGTATCGACTTCGGAGAAGATGAAGGTGATGCCTTTTGCGCTTTCGATCTCAACGACCAGGCATACAAAAAGCTGCTGGAATCGCCGCGACCGACTGAACTACATACGCGATGGATCAATATCTGGCAGCCCTACAATCAGAAGGAGCTGATCCAAACGCTAGCCTCTCACTTCGACTTCACGCCACGACTGCTGGGCATGATGACGAGCGATCATATGCCGCCACGTAACAACCCGTCACTGCGCATGAAGAAGAGTTCTTCCACACTGAGATCGGTATTCTCCCACAAATCACAAACAACTAATATGTCCAACTCGATCAGGGAAAAGGCAAAGCAGGCGAACGAACAAGCTTTAGATTCAGAATCCAGTATCGGTCTGACAGAGATGATGCAATCTACACAGCTGGAGCTGGTCCGAGATTTGAGTCACTACCAGCTAGTAGACGATGTCTGGCATTGGAGTACTGTCGACCAGGGTCGGAGATGTAAGTTGCTCTTCATACCTAGAGAGATGGATCGTGGATTAAAGAGCTCTGCTGACAGTAACACAGACATGTGCATAGGCTACAACTCACTACACAACGTCCGCAGCAAAGAAACCAACACCCGCCCTATAATCTCGGATAGAACCCGAGACGTGCCCCACGGCAAACGCGTATGGAACTGGCTTCTCTTATGCGAGGACAAAACTGTCATCTCAATCTCCGAAGACCCGTTCCCGTTCGCCAACGGTGCTTTAAACAAAGAAGACGTGAAAGTACTCTTCACCACACGTCGTAATACTGTGAACGTCTTCAGGCAACTTACGAAAGCACCGACGCCGCTAAGAGAGGCAGCGCTCACTCAACTACCCATCCGTCAACGCCTCGGCAGCAGCGATGAGGAAACAGCCCACCGTCCCACGGATGCCCCTGGCTTGCTCTTCTACTACCTCTTCGAAGACTGGGGCGCAACCTTCGATCTCATCTCCCGCCGCGAGCACGGCTACGCCGCCGAGCTCGACCGACTCCGACAAGAAATGCTTCAGACAGCCAATCTAACCCACGTCGACCAACTTCACCACATCGGCTGCCAACTGGCCGTTCTAAAGCGCGTCTACCAAAGCTACGAATTAATCATCGAGCGCGTCCTCAAAAAGCAAGAAGCCACCCTCGCGTCACTTAAGAACTCGCACATCCTCTCCGGCAACGCCTCCCTCATCTCCTCCCACCCCGTAATAAACGACTCTCCCGGCCCCCTCGTCCCCGAAGCCGACAGCCTCCTCGGCGTAGCCCTCAGCTCCGCCGCGCGCGTCCGCTTCGAACGCCTCAAAGACCGCATCCAGCTCTACGCCCTCTCCGAAATATCCGAATGCCTCGACCAAAAAGAGTCCCTCGTAATGATGAACTTCAATCTCATCGCCATCAAAGAATCCTTCTCGGTCGAGCGCCTCACCTGGGTTACTTTGCTGCTTGCTAAGATTACCATCTTGTTTACGCCTGTGACGCTGATGACGGGGTATTTTAGCATTCAGTTCAAGGGGCTGGAGTTTGAGGTGGGCAGTTATTGGCGGGCGTTTGGGTGGACGTTTGGGTTGAGTGCTGCGTTGCTGGTGTTGTTTAGTTGGGTTAGTGGGACGTTTGAGGGGAAGATTATTACGAGGAGTTGGACGAGGGCGGTTTATGATGTTGCGCATAGGTGGGTTGTTGGGAGGAGGAAGAGGGGGAAGATGCTTTGAGGGAGATTTGGGTGTGGGTAGAGTGCTGGATGGTGGTTGGTGGATCTATGTGCGGTTAGATTCATGGGATGGAACGAAACTGAGTTCCACTCTAGGAGCGATTGCTGTTGCTCTTCGTGGCCTATCTCAGGGTATAGCAATTGACCAGTCACGAGGTGTCTCTTCAACCATAAATAAGAAGCGATCTGTGAGAGCTGTCTCCTAAACCATATTCCAAAGTGACAATGACTTTGACTTTCATGGAATACGAATCCATCATCTGGGAGAATGAGACGAAGAAGAAGATCCTATCTCACGCACGCGCCGCGTACATTGAAGAAGTCCTTCCTGGGACTACTTTCGACATCGTCACCACTAAGAGCAGCGAGAAGTTTATCCTTCATCTCGTCGCAATCCACGAATGTTCTCACCGAGCCAAATTTAAGGTCCTGTTGTCTACGAAGATGAACGATACAGAACACGATGGGTTGGAGGAGTTAGTGACGACGCTACAAGATCAGCTTTCTAGGATAATACAGGAGGTCACGGATGATGTCTACAAAGTTGTATATCCTGATGGATAGGTGTTGATGCAGTGCCTGGCTAGTGGGTGCGGAACAGGAAGGAGTAGGATATGTGCTGGCTACGTCATGTATTGTAGCTCCATACATCTTGACAACACTGAGTGCGTTCTCCGCGCTCCCTACTGCTAGACGTTACTATACATCTGTCGAACACACTAGAACCGTATACCAAGATCAGTGGGGCATTTTCTGCTCACAGTAGCGTACAAACACTGTCTCTAAACACCGAAGTGAAGATTCTTCGCTTCAATCACCGTAAACGCTTCGTACGATAAGCTCAACTGTTATACTCCGCCCGTGTCGACGCTTCATAACTGCTACTACTGCACTCCATTAAGACACGATTCTTTCGTCATGTCTACGCCTGAGTACGATATATTATGGGAGAAAGAAATGAAGCAGCAAATCCTATGTATGCTTCCACTACCCCAATCACCCTACTACCTAATTACATCTTCACCTTACTAATTGTACCCTGCCAAAGCACACGCCCGCGCCGTCTACGGCTCCAAATACCGCTACCATTCCGTCTTCGACGTCGTTCATACCTATTCCAGAGACGTACGAGAAAGGCCATACAATACTCACCTTATCGTATACCAGCGGCCGCATAGGATCAGGAAGTGGGATCGAGTTCACTCGGTTCATGATGGCGTTGATCTGCGGCGGGATTGACGGCTCTTTTGGAATCGCTGCGCGTGAGGCTGGGTCGGAATTTTGTTGAGTTGGTGGATGGGTAGGGAAGGAAGCCTCCAAGCGCTGTAGGTCTCTCTGGGTAAAACTCAGTTTACAGATATGGAATGGTTACCTAAGCGCAATAAGAGTGAAAGTGAGAGCGAAATCGTTGTCTACGTAAGCAAAATTTCGCACGAAAGAGTTCCACGTTCTGATTTCTCCACTTTTCTTCTACTTTGTACCTACCTGGGTTTTGGACCATTACCTAGACGCTCATCAATGGCGAAAATGACCGAGAAACTTAACAGCAACGATCAAGCGCAATACGAAGAGACGCTGAAAGCAACTATCATCGGTGAGTCGAGTTGTGATTTGTCGCTATCTACATCGTATATCTAACATTTACCACAGCCCAGGCGTGCGCAATCTACGGTCCGGGTTACAGCAAGGCTCCCAAATTCGACGTCATCATCGGCTGCGTAAGAGACGAAGACAATCTCGACACCAATGTCGCCTGGCTCATTGTCTATCCGGATACTAGATTCCTTAACTGGAAGCTTCTTCTACAAACCGCAAAGTACCTGAGTGCAGAGAACGCGTATCTGTCGCTGAGGGGAATGTTGCGCACGAAGACGGCCGAAGTCATGGGTTAGTAGATCAATTGTTTCACTGGTAGATGACTCACTAACTGTATCCAGAGTCGAAGGACAAAACTGGGATGGAGGTGCAACCGAAATCCGAATGCTGCATGATGTAGTGGATCCACGGACGCTTTCACTGCAAGGAGCAGATAGGTTCAAACCAGTCATCACCTTGCGTGGAGAATCACGATCATACCCGATCAACTTGACAGAAATTCGTTTACAACCGGATGGAATGGAAAGTCATATGGAATGCAACAGTCCACAGGAAGCGGACAGGCCCCGTGGTCTGTCCCAACCCGGCTCACTGTAACAAACCGGCAGAAGATACTGTAGGGAATCGAAAGCTTCACTTAACTTATTTCATACTTGGACTTTCCTACGTACAGCTACACTCTACACACACTCATATCGCCTGCATACTAACACAACCGTCCTTTCGTCTGAAAAGGCAAGAAGCATGAGTATTTCATCTCATGTCACTTCATTCCAGCATGTTTTCAACGCAATATCAAGGTATCATGACATCGACCTAGCCTTTTCGAGCGCTTTCAACTGCCCGAAAGAGGTACACCCTACGTAGCGAAGATGGTACGTGCTTTGTACAGTATAAAATAATACTTTCACTCCACTGCTCCATCACTCTTGTATCCCACTTTCGCAACACATCCCGATCGATACAATCCAGAGTTGCTCAACACATACCATCAAAGCCATGGCTGCCATGTCCAAGTACCAGACCGTCCTATGGGAAAGGCAGATCGAAAAGCAGATTTTGGGTAAGTTTTCTCCAAGCATTCGGATATATGACGCTCAATTCTAACCTATGTAGCTCGGATCGACTTTCTCTTCTCTAACATGTTCCCTTCCGGTGTCGTCTTCAACATCAGCATCTACGGAGAGCCCGAAGCATATGGCGTCGATGTCAACTGGAAGATGGGTTCGACGGATGCTTCTTGGGATGGGTTGATGCGCTACGAATTCGGGGATACTGTAGAGATGGTCTTAGAGCATCTGCTGGGATACCTGCGTACGCAGTCGGTGGAGGGTAAGTATCAATTCAGAGTCCCCCAAACCGTGTGCCTGTACAAAGCTAATCCTTGAGTTCCCACATACAGATCTTTGGTCGTCGGTACAGTCTCCTCACCTCGTGGAGAGCATCAAGAAAGCTAAGGAAGACAACGAAAAGGCTGAAGAAGACCTCAGAGAGGCTGAAGAGGTCTTCAAGAAGGCCGTAGAGGTACTCCAGAAGTCTTCGACGGACCGCAAGAAAGCCGGGGTACCGGAGGAAGTCTTAGCTTCGATGTTCGTATAGATGTCCATCGTCTAGCTCTACTGCATAGGGCGATTTCCCCGACATGGCATACTGTTTGGTCTTGCTCGAGGAGATCACTGAGTAGACAAGCATTGCTGGGAAGGCGGGAAAGAGACCATGCCATAGGGTACAGCATGTACACAACCGGAGCACACACTCGGTTCGATGTCAACGCTGCTTGAGCTACTAGATAGTCTCCAAGCCCATTGAATGAAGCAACGATCATCGACTCTTCAACATCTCTCTCGCGTGAATGTCTTGTCGGTATCAACATGTCCAAAAGCCCAGGTTTCCGTACTGTTGCGGTCCTCGGTATTCTCACGGCTCCATCCTAGATTCCATACGAAAGGACCACTAGGTCGAAGACGCGGCTTTCGTGGCGCGCTTTTTTACACCCACTGTGGCGAAGTCCGCAAGCGCCGCGAATACGAAAAGAGAGAGAGAATACGAGAAAGAGAGGTAACACGAAAAACGAAAGTTGAACGAATCTCAACGACGTATAAATATGTCGATACCGTACGCATTTCAACTCATCTCATCAAACACTTGTTTGTTTCTTTCGTCGATCCATATTCATCATGTTACGATACCTCACCCTCGCATCACCCGCTCTCGCAAGCGCAGCAGCAACACCACCTCCACCATTCTGTCGATCAACACCCTCCAACGCATCATGGCCCACCCCCTCAGAATGGTCCTCCTTAAACGCCACAATCGGCGGATCTCTAATCCGCACCATCCCCGTCGCATCATCCTGCTGGCCCTCCACAAACACCACCTTCGCCTCCCCTCTATCCTGCCAAGAAGTCAACGACAACTGGTCGAACGGGACCTGGCATTCGCAACAGCCAGAGTCGATCGACTACCAGCTCTATGCGAATAACTCTTGTTTGCCAGATGAAGTGGGGAGTTGGTCGGAGAAGCAGGGTTGTACGATGGGAGGCTTGCCGCAGTATATTGTTAATGCGACGGAGGAGGTTGATGTGGCTACTGCGATGAAGTGGGCTGCGGAGAGGAATGTGAGGATTGTGGTTAAGGGGACGGGTCATGATCTTAATGGACGGTACGTTTTTCTTGTCTTGAACATGTTGGTGAGAGGAAGCTGACATTACCTCGACAGATCAAGCGGCGCTTTCTCACTGTCAATTTGGACGCGCAACTTCCGTAACCTCAGTCGCGACAAAGCCTGGCGAATCGCCAACAGCTCTTCGCCCGCAGAAGACGTCTTCATCGTCGGCAGCGGCCAACAGTGGGGTAACGTCCTCTCCTTCGCGACAAGTCAAGGCCGGGTCGTGACAACAGGCCAGGACCCCAGTGTGGGTTTGGGAGGCTATATCCAAGGCGGTGGTCATGGCCCGTTGGCTTCCACCTATGGTCTGGCATCAAGCCAGGTTCTCCAAATGACCGTCGTTACCACCACCGGACATGTGCTTATCGCCAACGAAGTCCAGAACCAAGATCTCTTCTGGGCACTGCGTGGCGGTGGTGCAGGACAATATGGTGTGGTGACCGAGTACGTGATCAAGCACTACCCAGCTCCCCGTAACGTCGTCATGGCGAGTGTCCAGATCAAACCGAAAGGTAGCACGAACGCCAGTATGGAAGCTTCGTGGTCGGCAGTAGCCAGTTGGCTTAGTGCGCTACCCGACCTCATGGATGCCGGTCTCGCAGGCGCTGCAACCGTAGCAGTGGGAAGTACGGCACCGAAGTTCTTCCCGGATATTGATGTCTCGAAAGGATCGTTCACTGGTATCGGTCTCAACCAAGTCTTCTGGGCTTTCAACACCACGTCCGCTGCTGTCGAAGCGCTCGTCCAACCCATCTTGACAAACCTCCTCCTTCAGTCCAGCACCAATACAAGCACCACCGGCAACGACAGCTCTCTCGTCTCAACTTCAATATCGACCTCAACTCACAGCAACTACCCCTCCTTCTTCACCACCATATCCGGCGACAACGTCGCCGGCGGCGAATCCCTCACCTCATCCCGTCTCCTCGGCCGCGCCGAACTCGTCTCCACCCCCCACTCGCAAGTCATCTCATATTTGAAAACCGCAATGGCGAGTCAAAACACCACAGACCCAGGAAACTACGCCACCATCGGCCTCTCAGGCGGGCCCGGCGTGCACTCCACCCCCTCCAAACACTGGGGCGCCTTACACCCCAGCTGGCGCACCGCGTACCTTCATTTCATCGCCACGGGCGCTACTATTGATTCTCGTGCTGCGGGGAGTGCGAAGCGCGCGTTAAGCATTGGTGCGGATTGGCATGCAGTTGTCAAAGAGCCGATGTGGGAGGAGTGGGCGCCGGGGTCGGGGGCGTATATGAATGAAGCGAATCCGTATGTTGAGGGTTTCCAGAAGGTGTTTTATGGGGATGGGTATGAGAGGTTAGTGGAGGTGAAGAGGAAGTATGATCCGAGTGGGAGTTTGTTTGTGTTGGCGGGGGTGGGGACGGAGGGGTGGGAGTATGATCTTGATAGTGGGAGGTTGTGTAGGGTTTAGAGGGGGGGGTGGTATGGTGGATGGTGGAATTTTATAGATTGTACGCGTTCGAGATGGGATGTCGAATGGGCGATACCGCACGTTTGATCCCTTGATGGTCTGCGACAATATGGCACGTCGATGCGGTGCCGTTGATAGTATCCGTCTTTCACGTGTTGTGTTACGCGTCTGAAAGAAGACGGTGGGTCATAGTTGGCATTACGGTGGACCGTATCCCTACAAGGCGGTCTGTGACAGGAGGTCAGCTATTGTGGGAGAAAGCAAAACTGTTTGGAGGAGGCGCGGTTCCAGAAAAGTAAAGAAATTCGTGAAATGTGACAGAATTAATCGTGTCAATTGGGTACTGCAAATAGCTCATCTTGCTATGATCCCATTTTCCCTTCCACCGCTCCCAACCCAGTATGAGCCAATTCGATATGGCGGTCGGCGTCCTCTTTTAGCCCGCAAGGGAGTCTCATATGTAGAGATCGTATGTCGTGCGTATTTCGTTTACTGGCCGACCTTCTTGGTCTCCTCCTGGAGCTCCTTGATTTGCTGCTTGGTGTCCTTGCCAGTCTCGGAACGATCCGCCTTGACCTATACTCTCCGTTAGCCAATGCCCTCATAACCATGTTCTTCCATCTTCCTGAACGGGGACATCCAACTTACAGCGCTCTCGCTGTCACTGGCAAGCTGCTCCTCCCAGTGTTGCTTGCCGTCCTTCTTCTTGTTGAGCTGCTCCTGCTTCTTCTTCTCGACCTCCTCGGCGCGGTTCTCAGAGTCTGTTCGCTCATGTCAGCTCGGTTCCTTCCCGTTGTAAGATATTGGCACGCATTCAATGCTGTGATTGTTGGCGCTAAGCCGAGGTTGGCGGTGCGGACGTACGGAGAGCCGACTCCTTGCCAGCGGTGCGGGCTATTGACTGCGAGAAAGCGGCACGCTGAGCAAAGGCAAAGGGAGCGCGACGGGTCGCGAAGGCACGAATAGCGGACATGGCTGGTTTCGGGGGTGTTTATGTGGAGGGAAGTTTGCGGGGTTTCGGCGGTATAGCTCGGGCCTTCTAGCTTTGGGTATGTTTCGGTGTGTTCGTGTAGCTTGACAGGAGGAAGAAAGATCAATTGAGTCGACGGAGTATCTTAGTTGTATGGAAAGAGCTTGCAAACTTGGCAGATGGACGCTTCAGAAGGAAAGGTTGGTATGCTGGAGAAAACACACGTTCCTCGGTTAGTGGACGTGACTAGCTCCAGCAGATGACGTCATACTTTCCCCGGCCGGCAATCACCATTACGAACATTGGCCGAATCCTGTCAGCCACTCGACGGAGCCTCATTAGTCATGCTTTTGCGACAACTAACTCAGGTCTAGATCTGCAGAGGCTCTTGTGGATATGCAGGCCGCCCAATTCCAGCATAATGTACCAGTAGCCATCTGGAGCTTGTGGTGTCAGCTGCTCAGATGCCACCTGGCACAAAACAAAGCATCGGTTACACATCAGCTCCTGCTCTTGGCCATGGCGTCGCGGGCCCCAGTTTCTGCCCGTTCGTCTTGTCACTCGTGTCTGGTTATGCCAACGCGACGATGGAGATGCACAGACCAAGACACGCGAATCCAATGGATCCACTTACACGTCGCAATTGCCATGATGGACGTGGACTTCGATTGCGATGTCACACCCCAGGCCTAACGAGATGCTGTAGTCAACCACAATGTCAAGGAGACGGACAGCTTGCTAGGTACTCCTTGCCGCTCGACGAAAAGCGCGTGAGACTATACCGGAGTCGCTGACGCGCACGTTGTGTCCATGCCCGAAAGCATGGCGAACATCGCGACGAGTAGCTAAATCTAGGTGCTTTGGTCAGAAAGCGATAAGCCACGACAGGAGAACAGAACGAGGGCGCCTACAGGCAGACTAAAATCTGCAGTTAGCCAGAGTAATACGATTTGGTTTGTAACATAAGAACCACATCTAAGTATGCGGATGATAGAGATCGTTTGACCAATACGAACTTTTGCGATGTGGCTAGGAAATAGAAGGCTTGAACTAAGAAAAAGTTCTTGAAAGGATAAAGACAATAAATTATAGGCATCCAGCTGGGAAGTACACATGTGTGTGACGAACATGATTTCTTCGAGGAGTGACGTCCTCTCTACAGTCAACGCTGAGCTCTTGGAATCCTTCTTCTCATTCTTTGAATCTTGCGATGAATTCTTGTCTTCATTGCTGCTGCTGCTGCTGCTGCTGCTGGGGGTTCCGCGGTCCTGTGTAAGAGGAGGTGTGTTTGTGGCTGTCGTTGATGAACGCGTAGACAGTAGTGCGATGGCAGTGAACTGCCTTTTGTGACCTTCGAAAAGTTCGTAAGCGCGGTGCCCACGGTACAACGCGAGCTTCACCGGGGAAGCATAAGTCTATCCCAACTCAACGGCAGATGCGGGCTTGGATCGGCTGCAGCACGCAATCTCTGTACTTGAGTTTGTGAGTATTGCGACTTCCTCTCAAGAAACCGTCCCAAGGGCGAAAAGATGCTTTTACTGTCTTGTTCAACACTAGTACGACATTACATCCCGAGTTTGCAGACAGACACTAGACAATACACTGTATCTACGACAGCATGTATGTAAAGATTGCCTTGACGATTCGTATACTAGCCGCGAAACCCAACTCCGATATGTGCTCTAGCATACCTAGCCGGGACACTAACATAATATCGTGGACTACGTCTAATGCGATTCGTCTAAAGGATTAACAAATGTTTATATATTCCATGGCCACGACAACCAAATACACATTTGCCATGTCCCATCACCTTTCTCAATAGTCACCCATACCTCACACCAAATCCTCTCTCCCGAGGTCCTTTGCCACACATTTCCGTACTACCAAACTCCAGCCCCGAACCCATCAACAGAAAAACAAACAAACAGCCAATACACCCAACCCCCCTCTCGCCACACCACACCTCAACCTAGCCTTACCATCCAACCACGCAGCGCAAACGACCCCAGGGCAACGGCGCACTACCATTTAGCACCGAGTCTAGAACACGCACATCACACCAGCTAAATCTCGCAGCCGCTCCTCGTGACAACTTCCTCAGGGCCCTTTATCTAAACTTTACCCATCCGTCCCAAGTATATCCCTCACCTATCGCCAGACTGGCCTACCAACTCCCACCAACTCACGCCACCCAAGTCGACTACAGGGCTACGAATCGGCATAGCTTCCCCCCTTGAACACTAGCCTGTATCCATTGATCTTAGTCAGACTAGCATCGAGTCGGAAGTCCGGGGGGGAAAGAGCCTAGCCTGGTACCTGAATGGACGCTGGAACGCTCGACGCTGAGCTGAGCAGAGCTGACGAGGGGCCGGCCGCGGCGTGGTGTTGGCGTGCGGGGTCAAGATAAACGATCTTATCTTCAGTCAATCCAGCTCGGTACCATGCGAATATGCTCGGTACCATACTGATGGCGATTTCGAAAAAAGTTGCTTTTCAGGTCAAAGTTCACACACACACTGAGCAATAGTGGATGATGATTTGAACAAAGATTGCGTAGATTCCATTCCTAGGATATGTCACTGCCCCCGAAGACTCCAAAGAGCCATCGAGGCGTGTAGATATAAGGTAAGAGAGAGAGAACAGAGCTCTCATCTAAGGAGAGATATCGCATAATAGCGAAAAAAAGGAAAAAGACGACATCCAAGAAAGAAAGATCAATCGCAAACCACACACAACCCACGCCTACTCCTTGGGGGTGTTGTTGTCGTCGTATAAATCCTCGTACAGTTGGAAAAGCAAAAACAAGATAAAAAGATAGAGAAGAGAGAGCAACACCGACGGAAAAGCGAATTCCAGCGCCCAATGACTGCGTAGAATCATCCCAGCGTCGTCCGTACAACAAACAACTACTACCAAACAAAGAGTAGTGGTTTGTGACAATGCGAAGAGGAACCCAAAAGATAACACCACCGATTGATGACTCCCACAACATGTACGCTCAGACACCGTCGCTTTCGCAAGATAGGCGCCCAACAAATGGTATATACCGACCGCTTGAAACCCGAGAGAGAGAGATAAGCCAACCGCACATAGGAAATCTACCCTTTGTAATGGCAAACGTCGACGAGACGCAGCCGGGCAACAAAGATACAGAAACACCGTTCTGTAACCAACAAGTTTTTCCAATAGGAATAGCCAGAAATGCGAGACCCAGAAACACCGTTATGTGCAAACCGCCGTTAATGCGTTAGCGCTTGTAAAGCAAGGACCAAAGCGCTCTATCCGGAAATGATGTGTTTTTCGCTATAATTGCAACGCCGTTGCCCCGTTCAAGTGGTATACCCAAGATGTCGAAGAAGATATCGTGATTTATACAGGGAGAGCCGGTGGATATCGAGAAGAAGAGGATTAGATCCAGGTAGCCACTAGCCTAGCAACACAGACGCCGCAATGTTGACCGAATAAAGACGCTCGGCCGCGTGCCTGCAAGACTTTACCAGCGTCGCGACATGAACTGTTGCTGCATCTGTCGGTTGGGGGAGACAGAGGGGGGTGGGCTGGCAACAGCGCGTGTCGAGGGGTCGACGATGGGGATGGCATTGCGTGTGCGCTGGGCTAGCGGCTGGTGCAGCTTGGTTTGCGAGTTGTTCTGTTGGAATCCGACGGGGGTGTACGGGTTGGGAGCCGAGGACAGGACAAACGAGGGGGTCGGCTGCAGCTGGTGCTGAAGCGGCGACTGTTCAGGCGAGCCGCTCGATAGCGACGAGCGGTCTGAGCCGGACGAGTGGATGGATTGCAACTGTTCATCGAGTGTCAGCGCCAGTTCAGGCGGAGTCGACGACATGGGCGGGTGGCAAATATTGGCGACTTACATCATCCTCGGTGAGCAGGTGGAAGGGGCAGAACATCTCGTCGTCCTCGATGTCGAATGAACGGGCGGCCTCGAAGTCGCGCTTGTATGCGATGAGGGTGGGGGGCTCGACGTTGAACTCCTTGGGGGTGCGGACTTGGCGGAACTGCTTGTTGT